GCGCACTAGCACAGACTAAGGTCTCCACTAGTACGAGCCAGACCCATGCTGCATTCACGGAGGGCCCGATTACCGCGGTCACCAAGGTGCCCAGAGTATCGGCGCCCCCAGGCATTGTAACACAGCAGCTATCTGGGGACGGCGCATTATCGCAGACCAAGGTCTCGGTTAATGCGATTCAGACCCATGCTACGTTCACGGAGGGCAGGATTACTAGCTTTATGGGTATAACCAAAGTATCAGCTCCCCTGACAGAACGAGCCAGTACTCACCACACTGAGCATGAATCAACCCACCAGGGGTGCAGTGTTGAACACACACAGAAGGTGAAAGTCAAGAAGGTATCAAGGCGCCGCCTTGTTTTACCTCATAGAGACCTCATACTACAGACTTCTAGGAGTACTGTAGTGAAGGGCTCTGATAGCGAATTGCAGTCACCTAAGATGACGCAATCGCTTGCTGGGGATGGTGCCCTGCCGCAGGCTGTGGCCTCGGTCAGCGCAATTCAGACCCGCGATGCGTTCAAGGAGGGCAGGAATACGACGGTTACGGGTTTAACCGACGTCCCTACTCCTCTTTCTTTCTCAGAACGCATCGATAGTTCCTCTCCCTTTCACGGGAGGCCCACCTTGGGCTGTTCCACCACTTCAATGTTGGGGAACAGTGGCGGTAAGGGCCATAAAGGAATACAGGTCCTTCCTACTGGATGCACCACAGCTTCGCGCCCAGCCGCTTTCTCTGCATTGCTGGCAGTGGCGAAGAAGCTGCACCCTCTCACGCTGGCTAGAACAGACGTTGCAGAAGGGTTATGCTCTCCAATTCCACCGGACCCCACCCCCGTTCAGGGGAGTGGTGGAGACGGTGATGAAAATGCCAGACAAAGTGGCCGCTCTGATGACAGAGATTACGGAACTTTTGGCGAAGGAGGCGGTGACAGTAGTTCCCCGGGAGCAAAGGAACAAAGGGCTATATTCGCCTTATTTCCTAGTGCCCAAAAAGACAGGGGGAGTGAGGCCGATTTTGGATTCACGCATTCTCAATGAGAGCATAACCAAACGGCCCTTCCGAATGCTAACGACAAAACGTCTGCTGGAATGTGTCCAGAGAGGGGACTTTTGTACGAGCATAGACCTAAAGGACACGTACTTTCATGTGCCGGTTCAGCCGCGTCACAGGAAGTTTCTGCGGTTCGCCTTTCAAGGGGTGGCGTACGAATACACGAGGATGCCATTTGGGTACGCCCTGGCACCTCGCACATTTTCCAAGTGTGTGGAGGCGGCATTGGAACCGTTGCGTCGTCAGGGAATACGGCTACTAGCCTACCTGGACGACCTACTGGTTCTCGCCCCGTCAGCAGAGCTGGCGATCACTCACACAACACAGACAGTGATGCATCTCACAAGTCTGGGGTTTGCTGTGAATTGGAAAAAGAGCGCGCCCTGGCCCACTCATCAGATTGTCTACCTGGGGATACAGCTAGACACTGTGAGGATGAGGGCCCGAATCTCGGACCCCCGAAGGGTAGCCTTGTTGCTTGCCCTAAGGAAGTGTCGTCCGAATCACACGGTGACGGCGCTGTCGATCATGTCACTTTTGGGTCTCATGTCGTCAGCCCACTCTGTGGTTCCGCTGGGACTCCTGCATATGCGCAGGATGCAGTGATGGTTCGCCCAACTAAGACTAGACCCATTGCGTCAACGTCATCGGTTGGTGGTGGTTCCCCTCTCGCTCAGTGCAGACCTAAACTATTGGAGAAACTTGCGCGTTCTCACGCACGTAGTCCCGATAGGAAAGGTGTCCTCTCACATCCCAGTATTCACGGATGCGTCCCTGACGGGATGGGGAGGGACATGTCAGACACAAGCGATAGGAGGTGTGTGGCCTCAATCAGGTCGTCACATCAACCTCCTGGAGTTGGAAACGGTTCGACTGGTTCTGACCCACTTCGCGTCTACCCTTCGGGGTCGCGATGTGCTGGTCTGGTCAGACAACCGGACCACAGTAGCCCACATAAATCGCCAGGGAGGAGTCAGGTCTCCTGCTCTCCATCGGGCGGCAGAGGAATTGTGGCTGTGGGCTCACGAGCACCTTCGCTCATTGAGAGCAGCACACATTCCGGGCTACTTGAACGTAGGAGCAGACCTCATGTCAAGAGGGGGTCCTCGAGACGACAAGTGGTGTCTGCATCCAGACATTGTTCTCCAGATTTGGGAACAATTCGGGAGAGCCGAGGTGGACCTATTCGCGTCACGCGTGAACGCGCAATGTCCTCTGTGGTTCTCTCTGAGGGAACAGGACGAACCGCCACTGGGAAGGGACGCCTTTGCGCACCAACCGTGGCCGAGAGTTCTCCTGTATGCATTCCCTCCGCTGTCCTGCATTCTCCCACTGCTAGCCAGGGTGAGGTCAGGGGGGCTGTCAGTGATACTGATAGCGCCCGATCGCCCGGGGGCTCCGTGGTTTGCGGAGATGAGTCAGATGTTGATTGCGCCACCTTGGCCAATTCCACATCGACGGGACGCGTTGTCTCAGGCGGCTGGCACGATAGGGAAATTGCCCATAATCGGCCAACCACTGAAGGCCTGGCTGCTGAGAGGGACAGGCTAGAGCGCCGTGGGTTATCTGATGCAGTGATCAGGACCATACAGGGTTCACGTGCCAGTTCCACTTCTAAGATGTATGCCAGTAGATGGAACGTGTTTTCACGATGGTGTGTCACACAAGGTGTAGACCCCAAGAGCTGTCAGGTGGAGAGTATTCTCTCTTTTCTACAGCTCATGTTTGATAAGCAAAAATCGCCTGCCACGATTAGAGTGTTTGCAGCAGCGATTTCAGCTTGTCATGAGGGTTTTGGCAGAGACAATGTCTTTAGCCACCCTCTAGTGAAACGCTTCCTATTAGGAACGCGGCGACTTAGGCTAACACCTAGAGTCACGCTTCCTCAGTGGGATTTGGCTTTGGTACTCGAAGCGCTATGTAAGTCGCCGTTCGAGCCATTGAATCAAATACCCCTCAAGATGCTGTCTATAAAGACAGCACTGTTGCTCGCTTTGACTACAGCTAAGCGGGTCAGTGATTTGTGTGCTCTTTCGACGAGACCTGACTGCTTGGCCATCAATGGTGACCTGAGCAGAGCAGTGTTACATCCTAACCCAGCATTTGTGCCGAAGGTTATTAAGAGTTCATATAGGTCACAGACCGTGGAGCTGTGGGCTTTTTCTCCTCCTCCTCATAGAGAGAGGAGTGAGGAAAAGCTCCATCGCCTGTGCCCGGTACGCTCTTTGGCGTGTTACGTCGAGCGCACAGCAGCGATTAGGTCATCGCCTCAGTTGTTTGTGTGTCACGGTGCGGCTGCACTAGGTAGACCACTTTCAAAACAGAGGTTGTCTCATTGGCTTTGTGAAGGCATTGAGACAGCTTATGAGGCAGCGGGGCGGCAATTGCCTCAGGGTATCAGAGCTCACTCCACTCGTGGAGTAGCGGCTTCTACTGCCCTTTTCAGAGGAACAGGAGTAGAGGATATCTGTAGAGCAGCATCCTGGTCGACGCCGTCTCCATTTATCCGTTTCTATCTCTTAGATATGTCTTCTAATTCTCTGGCTCGATCTGTACTCAGCGTGGCTGAAGGGAGATCTTGAGCAAGAAAGAGAGGAGAAGCAGGACTGTGGACACAGGTTTCCATCAGGTCCGCTTTGGTTAGGAAGACGTGTTTTTTGACAGATGTGTTTTCTAACTCTTTGGCTCGGTCTGTACTCAGCATAGCTGAAGGGAGATCTTGAGCTAGGAAGAGAGGGAAAAGCAGGACTATGGACAGGGTTTCCATCAGGTCCGCTTTGGATAGGAAAACATATTTTGTGGCATGAATCCTGACTGACAGGGTCAGTACAGTAGAGGCATGCGTTGATTAACAGAATGTGAGGTCATCTATCTGCTTGTTCAGTTAGTATGACTCATGTTTTTGTTCCTGCCCACTAATCTCTGGGATTCCATTGAGTGAGTGAGGCGGTCTACCGCGTTTACAATGTAGAGTGACACTTGGTGTCATTCCATTAGTGGTCGGTAGTGTTTTCACAGGATATTGAGGCACATCTATCTGCTAGTACAGATTAGTATGGCTTCTATTCTGGTGATCTGCCCACTAGTCATTGGCATTGCCATTGGACTAGGTGGGGCGGGTCTTTAACCGATGACGCGGTATATTGTGACGCCCGTAGGGGTTTTTAGTTGCAGTACTGCGGGACTCGGTTGCAGCCATTGCTAGGCCTGACTTTCTCGTTTCGATGGGAAGTGTTAGGCTCGGCAGGGAGTACATTTTGGAGCGCTACGCTCCGCCTTAATAATAATAAAAATAATACGCCATTTAGCAGACGCTTTTATCCAAAGCGACTTACAGTCATGCGTGCATAATTTTATTTTTTTGTGCCTTAAACCACTAGGAGCAGAGCTCCCCTATGGGGCGGAGCTCCACGATATAGAACGATTAGTTACCGGAGTGTAACTCCAGTTCTATGAGTGGAGCGGAGCCCCATAGGACTTAAGGCCCTGCCGACCCTCTCTAGTCTCGCTGAAGAAAAATATCTCGGGAGGCTGATTGAGGGGAGGCATCCCCTCTTATAGGGACACCTGTACTCCTATTGGCTGTAGGTGTGTGCATAATTTTGTCTCAGGCTGCTGCTGCCGTAGGGCAGAGGGTAAACCACTAGGAGCAGAGCTCCCCTATGGGGCTCCGCTCCACTCATAGAACTGGAGTTACACTCCGGTAACTAATCGTTTTTTGGACCTAACTTGCTTACCACTTTTTCCATGTGGTTTCTTCCTTTACAGACTCCAAGAAATGATGACCTCTTCCTAAATAGTTGGTCACATGATTAATTTTGTGTATGGTTTCCTAGAAACAGGGGTGGCTGAACTTACCCCACTCTCCCCTACACATACGTGTATAAGGATGTACACAGGTCAGACACACACAGGAGCTGGTCATACACTGTTTGTCACTGCAGGTGAAGGAGGGCATCCTGAATGATGATATCTACTGTCCTTCTGAGACGGCTGTGCTGTTGGCCTCCTACTCTGTTCAGACCAAACATGGAGACTACAAGAAGGACTACCACTTCCCTGGTTACCTCAGCAGGGACAAGCTGCTTCCCCAGAGGTGTGTTATCTCTCCCCATCCCCCTGTGTGACACACCTCAGCCCACAAACAGAAGGTAAACTGGTGAAACGGTCCCCTGAGAGATTTATTCCAAGTCTCCCTGAATGTTCCTCTGATTGTTGTCTCCCGTACTTAGATCAGTGTTGGGGTCAATTCCATTTAATTTAGCAGACACTCTTATCCAGAGAGACTTACAGGGGTTAAGTGCCTTTCTCAAGGGCACAGACAGATTTTTTTCACCTAGTTGGCTCAGGGATTTGAACTAGCAACCTTTTGGTTACTGACCCAACGCTCTTAACCACTAGGCTACCTTCCTTTCTCTACCCCCCTAATTGAACCCTTTCTCATGTCCTCTACCCCCAGGGTTCTGGAGCAGCACAAACTGAACAAGGAGCAGTGGGAGAATAGGATAAAGGTGTGGCATGAGGAGCACAAGGGAGTGCTGAGGTAAGACCACATGTCCTCTCTACTCACAGTCCCATCCAAGTTGACACCGGCTTACTTGTATTGCACTGATTGTATGTAGAATGTGCTAAGAATTATGTTAGCTGCATTCTGACTGATTGTCTGTTTCTGTGTCTGTATCTGGTCCTGTATCTGTGTCTGTCCCTGGTCCTGTGCATGTGTTTGTGTCTGTGTCTGTCTCTGTCTGTCCCCAGGGAGGATGCCATGGTGGAGTATCTGAAGATAGCTCAGGATCTAGAGATGTATGGAGTCAACTACTTCAGCATCAAGAACAAGAAGGGTTCAGAGCTGTGGCTGGGGGTCGACGCTCTGGGCCTCCATATATACCAGAACACTGACAGGTAGGAACGCTGGGGGTAGACGCTCTGGGCCTCCATATATACCAGAACACTGACAGGTAGGAACCTTTAACTAGATCTGAATTACGCATAGGTTCATCATGATATTAGACTACTTTTGAAGTCTGAAACATTGGATAAACTTTGACTTTGGAGTGAACTGTTCTACTGGGTTCTATTTCCTTTATAGGATGACCCCTAAGATCGGCTTCCCATGGAGTGAGATCAGAAACATTTCCTTCAACGACAAGAAGTTTGTTATAAAGCCCATTGACAAGAAAGCCCCGGTACATCACCTCTGTATAATTCAGGACAGAAAAAAGTACAGAATAAAAGTCACTTCATTTTTTGCAAGATGCACTGATAACTACATTTGTGGTAACTGGTGTCTGTTCCAGGATTTTGTATTCTACGCCCCTCGTCTGCGGATCAACAAGCGTATCCTGACGCTGTGCATGGGGAACCACGACCTGTACATGAGGAGGAGGAAGCCGGACACCATCGAGGTCCAGCAGATGAAGGCCCAGGCCCGCGAGGAGAAGACTAAGAGACAGATGGAGAAGTGAGGACAGAGAGAGAGAGCATTAGATGGGGAGAGGAATAGAGAGAGGATGTTGTTAGCAGGTTGTTTACTCATCCCTCAAATCCTTCGTTCCAGAGCTCTGCTGGAGAGCGAGAAGAAGAAGAGAGAGAATGCGGAGAAGGAGACGGAGAAGATCGCCAGAGAAACCATGGAGCTGATGGGCAGACTGAAACAGATCGAGGAAGAGACCAAGAAAGCTCAGGAAGGTCAGACTCTTTCTGTCGTCTGACAGTGTGTGTGTGGTATGGGCATGCATGTTTGTGTGTGTTCATATTATGTGTGTGTGTGATTTACTCTCTGTGTGTATATGTGTGTGTAGAGCTGGAGGAGCAGACTCGCAGGGCCCTGGAGCTGGAGAAGGAGAGGAAGTTTGCCCAGGAGGAGGCGGAGCGTCTGGAGAAGGAGCGCAGGGCAGTGGAAGAGGCCAAGGCAGCCCTCCTACAGCAGTCAGAGAGCCAGATGAAGAACCAGGAGAACCTGGTACACACACACACACACACACACACACACACACACACAGAGAGACAGACAGACACACACACAGAGAGAGACAGACAGACACCACACACAGACACATGCACAGACAGACAGACAGTCAGACAGACAGCCACACGCACACACAGAGAGACAGACAGACAGCCACACACACACACACACACTAGGAGGCTCCTGTATTATTATACGGTTTTCTTTCCAGGCCACTGAGCTGGCTGAGCTTACCTCTAAGATCTCCCTTCTGGAGGACGAGAAGAAGAAGGAGGAGGATACAAAGAGATGGCAGAAAAGGGTGAGAGAGAATGAATGAATGAATGAATGAATGTGTGTGTGTGTGATAGCGTAACCCTCTATCTAACCACAGTGCTTCAATGTGAGCGAGCGTGTGTGTGTACGTGTGTGTGTACGTGTGTGTGTACGTGTGTGTGTGATAGCGTTATCCTCACTAACCACACTGTGAGCGGTCATGTGTTTGTCGTCAGGCGGTCATGGTGGAGGTTGATTTGGAGCGGAACAGAGAAGTGCTGAAGACTAAAGACATCCAGGACTCTGTGCAGGGGGACCACGACGAGACCGACGAGAGCAGCGCTGAGGCCAGTGCCGAGCTGACATCACCAGGCATGGTCAGAGACCGCAGCGAGGAGGAACGCATGACGGAGGCTCAGAAGAACGAACGGCTACAGAAACACCTCAAGGTCAGAAACACCTAACTTAAAGGGGAACTTTAAGTTGATACGGTCCCAAAATGTTTTGCATGTCAGCAGTCAAGTTTTAAAGAAGCAAAGTGTCACCGGCCACAACATCATGATGACGTAAAATGCATCAAAAGTAACACTGCTTCCTGAATGTCCAATATCTTAAAAACTTGGCTGCTGACATCCTAATCAATTTGGTACTGTATCAACAGTGGACTAATGAAACAAATACCACAAGATCGTTTTTGAGTGGAGTTCCCCTTTAACCCATAACCTATGACCTTTAATTAACCCTAACTCATGACCATGACGAGGCCCAGAAGAATGAACGGCTATACAAAGGTCAGACCTTACCTTAACATATAACCTATGACCCTAACCTATTGTAACCGGTGTGAAATGGCTAGCTAGTTAGCGGTGCGCACTAGTAGCATTTCAATCGGTGACGTCACTCGCTCTGAGACCTTGAAGTCGTTGTTTCCCTTGCTCTGCAAGGGCCGCGGCTTTTGTGGAGCGACGGGTAACGGTGCTTCGAGGGTGACTGTTGTCGATGTGTGCAGAGGGTCCCTGGTTCAAGCCCAGGTAGGGGCGAGGAGAGGGACGGAAGCAACACTGTTACACTAACAATAACCCTTCATGCCTGGTTGGCTTCCGTCCTGACTAAATGTAAAAATGTCCTTCCGCTCTGAACTCTGAAATGAGAGATATGGTTACACATGTACTACGCATGTACTACACATTTACTACACATTTATTCCATGTATAGTACATATGTTGATGCTCTAAGAGTTTATTTGTGTCCTTGTTGTCCATTTGTCCTCAGGCCCTGAGTACTGAGTTGGCCGGCGCTCGAGACGACAGTAAGAATACTCCCAACGACCTGATCCACGCGGAGAACGTTAAGGCCGGCCGGGACAAGTACAGGACCCTCCGTCAGATTCGACAGGGCAACACCAAGCAACGCATCGACGAGTTTGAGTCCATGTGAGTGCGAGAGAGAGAGAGAATGAGAGAGAGAGAGAACAAGAGTCTGTACTGAATCTATGTATTTAAATGGAAGTCATATAGGCAGGTAGTGTAATTACAACGTCAACATTGCTTTATTGACTTTGTAAGCACCCCACTGCCTCTTCCCAATAGTGTGTTGTTTCCCGTGACTAAAAAGTGCTATCTACTGGCTGTAACGTATTACATTCATGGGATTTGTAGTTTGGTAAAGTAACATTCTGTGGACTACAGACTGTAGGCTACTAGTACAACAATCAAAGTTAGTGATTATATTATTAATATATCATAATTAATGCTGCATTTTCTCATGGTTTTAGCAATCTTGAAATGCATCTATGCAAAATAATCATTAGCTGATATACTATATATTTTAAACTTTTTGTGTATGGATAGTTTAGTGAGAGGAAGGGTTTGAGGTTATTTACAATATTTTCAAAGGTTGTCATTTCGCAGGTATGAATGAGCACAAAAACCTTTGCAATGAGTCAAATAAATACTATTAACCAACATTGAATCTGTGTTGAGCTACTGTATCACTCTAGTCATTTATTATAGGCTGTTATGATTGACGTGTGTTTGTCATGTCTTTATGTCTGCGGTGTGTGTGTGTGTGTGTGTGTGTCATGTCTTTATGTCTGCGGTGTGTGTGTGTGTGTGTGTGTGTGTGTGTGTGTGTGTGTGTGTGTGTGTGTGTGTGTCATGTCTTTATGTCTGCGGTGTGTGTGTGTGTGTGTGTGTGTGTGTGTGTGTCTGACATTTGTTTGTAAGGAGTGTGTTATGACTGAAAGCATACAGTAAGCACTGTAAAAATATATTTTGATTCAACGTACAATTGTAAGGCAACCAGCTACAATAGGATTGTGAGTTTGTTTAACAAAAATGTTATTGAGCAAACTCACAATCCTATTGCAGCTGGTTGCCATATGTTGAATCAACATATTTTTGTTTTTTAAAGTGTTATGAAATCTGAGGTCTACTATGCTGGAAGGCAAAATCCCTCTCTAGGGAAAATACAGTTATTTTCTGTTGGAAGAAGGCCGCTGAACAGCTCATTTACAAAAGCAGACACTCTTATCCAGATTGACTCAGTTAGTGCATTCATCTTAAGATAGTTTGTTGGGACAACCACATATCTCAGCCATTGTAAATAAATGTTTCCTTAATTAGTGTTACGCACTCCTCTCGGAAGAGGGAACGCAACACCCTGCTACAACTCAACTCTCCGCGGTGTGAAAGAGGTATGGGACTGTAGGTGTGAGAAAGGATGACAAAAGGCAGAGAATACCGTTAACAGGGAATTTATTCCTTCGCATGGTAAGTTTGGGGAAAAGGGGCTGGACGGAACCAAAGCAAAGAAAGTAAATATCAAAGCCCCCTCTCCTACCTTACCTGCCTACCCACTACTTACTTAACTAGCACCACCTGGTGCACTAACCAAAATACAGGGGATGGTCCGCCCAGGTCTTTCCTAGTGTGCATAGACAGTTAACTTCTATGGGTAATGTATGCCCGCGGGCCTCTTGCCTAAGCACTCCCTAGGTATCTTCCCCTTCCCCCCTTGGGAACAAATGAAACAAAATAACACAAACTGGTTCACAACAAAACCTGAGAAAAAAAACTAACTCAGGACATTAAAGAAACTCTCTGAACAACAAACTAACACAAAACATTACAATCAGCTCTCACAGCAACAACTACACAGTACATACCAAATGTCTTAGCAACAACCAACATGCTATAACTCTCAGCCATTAGCCCTCTCTCAACCCACAACACACATGAAAATACACAACCCACAACACACATGAAAATACACAACCCACAACATACATGAAAATACACAACCCACAACATACATGAAAATACACAACCCACAACATACATGAAAATACACAACCCACAACACACATGAAAATACACAACCCACAAAACAGAAACTGGGGAAAGTAACAATAAATAAAATAAGTTATGTTGCAAGATAACAATCTCGTTTGCAACAGGAACTAAGCCTGCAGGTGCCTGCAGTAGGTACCTGCAAAGCGCCTATTTAAAAAATAAAATTATTGACCCATTTACACTCAATCAAATGTTTGGTAACACTTTACTACAAACCTCTATCATAAGGCATGATATAGGCTACATAAGTTCATAATGCTGTCATAACAGGTGCCATATAATTGTTGAAGTCATCTTATGACAACTGACATTATGCTGTCATAACACAAACTGAACAACGGATGTGCATAGATCTCAATCACTTTTTGTAAACAGGAGTGTCTGTGTGTCAGAAAAAAACTGACAACTCACTGTTGTTGTGTTTTTTCATTGGAGGAGGAGGAGGATTGGAAGAGGAGGAAGAGGAGGAGGAGGAGCACACAATGTCTGTTTTGACTGTGAGATAAGACTAACCAGCAACAGCACTCCTCAGTCTCTAAAACTTCACTTAAAATATATTTTTAATACTTTACAGTCAGAATAGCAACAGTCAAATAAGTAACTGATAGATTTAGAGCGATTTGTTATAAACAGACAATAATAACACGGTAAAGAATGAACCTTACCCTACTCGAGTCACAACTTGGACACGTGCCAGCCATTCCTTTCGTGAGGTCACACAGAATGAGCTAAACGCGGAGGCGTCGATGTGATGTGTTATTCATGTGGGCTCCCGTGGTTCATCTTGAAGTGGTTATAGGTGGTGGCCCGACATAACGACATAGAAGGAGTCTCCGGTTACACGGAAAACATTTAGTAGCTCCTTGTGTTTTAGGCCTACTGTGAAAAACGGAGACCTGGAGATCACGTATTTTTTGGAACCTTGCACGACTGGGAAGGGATCAAAACAACAATGCAGAGTGGCACCAATATATCAGAGACAGCCAATGAGTTATGTAACGCGGTGTCTGTGTCTTTAGGTTTGAGTTCGCAGTTAAACGAGATAGCGGATAATGGACGGAGCGATACTGCCTTCTCTGCAGACAGCCGCCCAAATTACGGAAAACGTTTCTCTGTCTCGGAGGAGTCATCTCCAGAGTTTGGAGCAGGCGCAAATATGACCTCAGAGTTAACCAACCAGATGCCGAGGAAAACGATAATTAAATCAAATGATCTCGGGCCATCGTTCGAAGTAAATGAAGACATTAGTGGACTAAATGATGTGGTTTTTTTACAGACACTGGAGCGCGAAAGGGACAGCGAATGCAAGGTGACAAGGCCTATGCACGAGTTGGAGATGGCCCGAGGTCTCCGTAAAAACTCGGACATGTTCGTGAATCTGGATAACGCTAACGCACTCTCCATGCCCTTTCAGTTTGACGAACTGTTACCGTTAAGTTTTCCATTCCGTAAAGACTCCCCAACCCCGTTATTCGGTAGGGACTTTCCGGACCCATTGACCGTCAATAACCTCATCCAAAGCAGACGTAACAAAACCGAACCAGGGCACGAGGGACCCTGTCCGGTGGCGGGTGGATCTTGGTTCTGTAAATATTGTGACAACGGAAATTGCATGTCTTGTGGAGCACGTAAACCCTGTCCCCCTGGGGTTAACTATCAGGACTACGACTCTGGGATGCCACAGAATGGTCATGTCCAGGAGCAAAGTTACCAAAGTGTAATGATGATGCATGAAATGGGTCTTCAGCAAGTGTATCACTCCGCTATCAAGAAGGAGAGTTCTGGATGGATGGGTGCTGACTCAAGCTTGAGGTAGATATACTCTTTATAAGACATTTCATTTCAATTGTTTCTTTGTTTGTTTCACATAAGACCAAGCAGACCAGAGGCAAATCAATGTAGCTTCTCTAACTATGTCATCATAACAAAACAACAGTAATATCAGATGTTATAATCTGTCAAATTCAATAACAGTTAGGCCATCTGTTATATTGTTATGACTGTATTATGTAGAGTGAAGTGTTAGGATGCGTCTCGAATGGCACCGTATGCCTTATGGGCCCTGCCATTTGAGATGCAGCCATTTTAAATCCATTTTAACAGGTGACCCAATTCCCTGCACCAGCTGCTACAGGGTCTCACTACAATATACCCATGCTGGAGAGGACAGACTGCAAGTGATAGGTTATTGCCACTTTTATTTTTTATTTTTTTATTTCACCTTTATTTAACCAGGTAAGCCAGTTGAGAACAGGTTCTCATTTACAACTGCGACCTGGCCAAGATAAAGCAAAGCAGTGCAATAAAAACAACACAGAGTTACATATGGGGTAAAAAACATAAAGTCAAAAATACAACAGAAAATATATATATACAGTGTGTGCAAATGTAGCAAGTTATGGAGGTAAGGCAATAAATAGGCTGTAGTGCAAAATAATTACAATAGTATTAACACTGGAATGCTAGATGTGCAAGAGATTATGTGCAAATAGAGATACTGGGGTGCAAAAGAGCAAAATAAATAACAATAAAGGGATGAGGTAGTTGGGTGGGCTAATTTCAGATGGGCTGTGTACAGGTGCAGTGATCAGTAAGGTGCTCTGACAACTGATGCTTAAAGTTATTGAGGGAGATAAGAGTCTCCAGCTTCAGAGATTTTTGCAATTCGTTCCAGTCATTGGCAGCAGAGAACTGGAAGGAATGGCGGCCAAAGGAGGTGTTGGCTTTGGGAATGACCAGTGAGATATACCTGCTGGAGCGCAGACTACGGGTGGGTGCTGCTATGGTGACCAATGAGCTAAGATAAGGCGGGGATTTGCCTAGCAGTGATTTATAGATGGCCTGGAGCCAGTGGGTTTGACGACGAACATGTAGTGAGGACCAGCCAACAAGAGCGTACAGGTCACAGTGGTGGGTAGTGTATGGGGCTTTGGAGACAAAACGGATGGCACTGTGATAGACTACATCCAATTTGCTGAGTAGAGTGTTGGAGGCTATTTTGTAAATGACATCGCCGAAGTCAAGGATCGGTAGGATAGTCAGTTTTACGAGGGCATGTTTGGCAGCATGAGTGAAGGAGGCTTTGTTGCGAAATAGGAAGCCGATTCTAGATTTAACTTTGGATTGGAGATTCTTTATGTGAGTCTGGAAGTTGAGTTTACAGTCTAACCAGACACCTAGGTATTTGTAGTTGTCCACATACTCTAGGTCAGACCCGTCGAGAGTGGTGATTCTAGTCGGGTGGGCGGGTGCCAGCAGCGTTCGATTGAAAAGCATGCATTTAGTTTTACTAGTGTTTAAGAGCAGTTGGAGGCTACTGAAGGATTGTTGTATGGCATTGAAGCTCGTTTGGAGGTTTGTTAACACAGTGTCCAATGAAGGGCCAGATGTATACAAAATGGTGTCGTCTGCGTAGAGGTGGATCTGAGAGTCACCAGCAGCAAGAGCGACATCATTGATATACACGGAGAAAAGTGTCGGCCCAAGAATTGAACCCTGTGGCACCCCCATAGAGACTGCCATAGGTCCAGACAACAGGCCCTCCGATTTGACACACTGAACTCTATCTGAGAAGTAGTTGGTGAACCAGGCGAGGCAGTCATTTGAGAAACCAAGGCTATTTAGTCTGCCAATAAGAATGCGGTGGTTGACAGAGTCGACAGCCTTGGCCAGGTCGATGAAGACGGCTGCACAGTACTGTCTATTATCAATCGTGGTTATAATATCGTTTAGGACCTTGAGCGTGGCTGAAGTGCACCCATGACCAGCTCGGAAACCGGATTGCATAGCGGAGAAGGTACGGTGGTATTCGAAATGGTCGGTGATCTGTTTGTTAACTTGGCTTTCAAATACTTTCGAAAGGCAGGGCAGGATGGATATAGGTCTGTAGCAGTTTGGATCTAGAGTGTCACCCCCTTTGAAGAGGGGGATGACCGCGGCAGCTTTCCAATCTCTGGGGATCTCAGACGTTATGAAAGAGAGGTTGAACAGACTAGTAATAGGGGTTGCGACAATTTTGGCGGCTAGTTTTAGAAAGAAAGGGTCCAGATTGTCTAGCCCAGCTGATTTGTAGGGGTCCAGATTTTGCAGCGCTTTCAAAACATCAGCTGTCTGAATTTGTGTGAAGGAGAAGCGGGGGGGGGCATGGGCAAGTTGCAGCAGAGGGTGCAGAGTTGGTGGCCGGGGTAGTGGTAGCCAGATGGAAGGCATGGCCAGCTGTAGCAAAATGCTTGTTGAAATTCTCGATTATTGTAGATTTATCGGTGGTGATAGTGTTTCCTAGCCTCAGTGCAGTGGGCAGCTGGGAGGAAGTGCTCTTATTCTCCATGGACTTTACAGTGTCCCAAAACTTTTTGGAGTTAGTGCTACAGGATGCAAATTTCTGTTTGAAAAAGTTAGCCTTTGCTTTCCTGACTGCTTGTGTATATTGGTTCCTAACTTCCCTGAAAAGTTGCATATCGCGGGGGCTATTTGATGCTAATGCTGTACGCCACAGGATGTTTTTGTGCTGGTCAAGGGCAGTCAAGTCTGAGGAGAACCAGGGGCTATATCGGTTCTTAGTTCTGTATTTTTTGAATGGGGCATGTTTATTTAAGATTGAGAGGAAATTACTTTTAAGGAACAACCAGGCATCCTCTACTGACGGAATGAGATCTATATCCATCCAGGATACCTGGGCCAGGTCAATTAGGAAGGCCTGCTCGCTAAAGTGTTTTAGGGAGCGTTTGACAGTGATGAGGGGTGGTCGTTTGACCGCGGACCCGTTACGGACGCAGGCAATAAGGCAGTGATCGCTGAGATCCTGGTTGAAGACAGCTGAGGTGTATTTAGAGGGTATGTTAGTCAGGATGATATCTATGAGGGTACCCATGTTTACGGATTTAGGGTTGTACCTGGTAGGTTCGTTGATAATTTGCGTGAGGTTGAGGGCATCTAGCTTGGATTGTAGGATGGCTGGGGTATTAAGCATATCCCAATTTAGGTCACCAAGCAGTACAAACTCTGAGGATAAATGGGGGTCCTTTCCAGCATGGCCGTCTAGTGACTACTACACACCAGTGTGTCTGGTCCTGACACAACTGTTTACATCCCTAACCAGTGTTTATTGAAGGAGTATCGGAGTAATAGGCTTACAGTCCGCTACCTGCTGACCTTCAACTAACCAGCTGTAATGTATTTAGTCTCAATCCGCCCGGCCCAGTAGGACATTAGGCAACGCTCACCAGTTGAAGATGCACTATGCAGAAGTCGCTCCGCCATTTCCTGGTTGCTAAAATTCTAATAGTTCGCTTAATTTCAGTTAATGTGACAAAACAAGCAAGTATACTGTAGAAAATCATTGTACCGCTGTGAAATAAATTTTCCATAACCAAAAATATTGTATTTTCAGCTGTTTGAAGCTGGTGCACAAAACTGAAAGTAAAACTAAATTTAAGCACAGGAAGCATAGAAATAGCGCACATAGAACATATCTACAGATTCTTAGACTTGCTTTCAATGAGAATGACAAATCTATAACTCACATTTCAATGTGAATTTGGTCGGGCCCCCCAAAAGTTACACATTGCAGCATTAATAATAATATCACACGTAATGCCAAGGCTATGGGGTAGGGGGTCAGTCAAAGGTCTAGTAGTGGATATTAATCAAGTTGAATTAATTAACATTCAAGGACCATTTAATTTATAGATAGGTTATTAAAAGTCAAACCAACTTTGCCACGGTCACACACCAGCTGGCTGAAGCTAATTGGCTAAATAATTTGGCTACCTCTTTCCACCTGCAAACACACACGAGATACCCACATCAAACCACTCCCCGAAACCAACTCATGTTTGAATTCAGTCATGGCCACTAGCATTTCTTAATGATCCAAATCTAAAACGAGGCCAAATCAGGAAGTGCAGTCGCCCTTTAAACGGATAGCTGGCTAATTTAAAATGTAAAGTTTGTCAGACTTGTCATACCTCAAAAGTAGTGTAAAGTCGATCTGAGCCCGTATTCCACACCATCTGGTAAATAGATTCTGCTGCTAAATTAATTAGAAGGAATCTGCATGACTCAATCCCACATTATTGGGCATGTATGTGCAGATAGACAGGTATAGGCAGGTAGGTGCGTTTCAGATCTGTGTGTGAATGTGGAAGATCTAAAAGAGTGTTAGGTGTGTTGTGTGTTTTCAGGTGTGTGTGTATGTATGTACGTTTGTGTGTGTGTGTGTGTGTGTGTGTGGTTATATGGTGTATCTGTAAGATCTAAAAGAGTGTTAGGTGTCTGTTTACAGATATGTGTGTATGTGTGTGTTTCAGATGTGAGGATATGTTGCCAGTGAGGGTGTATTTCTCAGACCGGAGGGTGTGTAAGGTATGTGGAGATGAGGCATCAGGCTGTCACTATGGAGCTGTTACCTGTGGGAGCTGCAAGGTGTTCTTCAAGAGGGCCGCAGAGGGTGAGCCACACACACATTCACATTTACATTTTAGTCATTTAGTAGACGCTCTTATCCAGAGCGACTTACAGTTAGTGAATACATTTTTTTTTTTTATACTGGCCCCTGTGGGACGAACCGACAACCCTGGCATTGCAAACGCCATGCTCTATCAACTGAGCTACATCCCTGCCGGCCATTCCCTCCCCTACCCTGGACGACGCTGGGCCAATTGTGCGCCGCCCATGAGTCTCCCGGTCACGGCCGGCTGCAACAGAGCCTGGATTCGAACAAGGATCTCTAGTGGCACAGTTAGCACTGCGATGCAGTGCCTTAGACCACTGCGCCACTCAGGAGTATAAATTTAAGCACGGGAAGCATATAATTCGTATTTTACTATCCTTGTGGGGACCAAACAATTGATTCCCATTCAAAATCCTATTTTCCCTTAACCGTAACTCATAAACCTAACCCCTAACCCTAATTGTAACTCTAACCCTAATTGTAACCCTAACCCCTAAGCCTAAAATAGCCTTTTCCCTTGTGGGGAAAATGTCCCCACATCTGAATTGTTCCTTGTTTTACTATCCTTGTGAGGTCCTCACAAGGATAGTAAAACCAAAAACACCCTCGCAGGCGCGCGCACACACACACACATACAGGAAATGGGATACCAAATTCCCCTGTAGCGGCCTTGTTTGTTATTGTGTCCCCAGGTAAGCAGAATCACCTGTGCGCCAGCCGTAACGACTGCACCATCGACAAACTGAGGAGGAAGAACTGTCCTTCCTGTCGTCTCAGCAGATGCTTCCGGTCTGGAATGAGCCTCAAAGGTCACAACTTTTACCATGGCATACATGACTGTTAAATGGAGAGAGGGATAGAAAGAGATAATGAAATAGAGGGGGAGAAGAGGGGAGCAGAGAGGGGAGGGAGGCTACATTTTGGTTTATGAAAAAGCAGGAATCATGACTAGGTCTTTAGGTAGGTTTTAATTGACCATGTTTTTTACCCCTACCTCTTTCAGATATACCAACAGTTGCTATAAAGAAGCAGGCATGGTAAAATAGTGGGACTTTGGTCTATGTATGAGGGACATTTTCTAGAACTTCTTGAGAGGTTCTATAGAGACAATACTGTTGTGTAAATTTGTGAAATGATCACGTCTCGAACTCTACCTCTGGAGGTCATACACACCACTCATACACCCCCCCCCCCCCCTCAAAGCAGGGCAGTGTAAACAGATTTGTCTCATTGAGATCAACACTTCTACAGTATAAATAGTAATAGCAGAGCAATGTTTTTGAAACAGCTAAAATGTAATGTATTGATATTTTCCTTATATTTGAGACTTGTTTTATTTAAATTGCAGTACAGCCTGTTACATTCTGAAATTGTCGCAGTTGCTGCCGGCTGCACTAAACCACGTAAAACTATGGAAGTCCAATTTTTTTGATAGGCCTACTATATCAATTATTTTAAATATGTAAATCAACATTTTGAGAAACGCAATTCACAAGCATGTGCAGACAATTACATTTTAACTTCAAGACAAAAGCACCAGAGTTACTGCTAGCTAACGCTAACAACATCTTCATCAAGTAACATTACAGTAACCTATTAAAAATGAATGATTAGCTCGCTAATACGAATATAAAGTACAATTTGTGAATGCTTGTGAATTGTTGCATTATTCAAGAGTGTAATATGGTTTTGTTGTAATAATGAAAGAGTGTAGGTCTGTCAATAAGTACAAATGAAAAGCAGTACACCGCTTTTGGTATGCGTAGCACCCCCTTTCACCCTCAGGACATCCTCAATTCGTTGAAACACACAGGAAACTGTTGAGCATGAAAACCCCAGAAGCGTTGCAGTTCTTGACACACTCAAACCGGTGTGCGCCCGGCACCTAGTACCACAACCCGTTCAAAGGCACTTAAATCTTTTGTCTTGCCCATTCACCCTCTGAATGGCACACATCCATGTCTCAATTGTCTCAAGGCTAAAAAATCCTTTAACCTGCCTCCTTCCTGATTGAAGTGGATTTAACAGGTGATATCAATAAGTGATCATAGCTTTGACCTGGATTCACCTGGTCATTCTATGTCATGGAAAGAGGAGATGTACATTCTGTACAAAACATACATACTTTGCAATGCTTAGCCTCTTGGCTAGTGGCTACTGTGACATTCATGGTACTTTTTCGGCTGGTGACATTCCCCTCGCTAATGTGAATTGAAAAGTGTATATATTATGTAAATTGAAATGTCATACCAATAACTCTATTCAATGAGAATAAAATACTCTTCAGACTTAATACACTATTGGTTAAAATACAGTCGGCTATACATTCGCCCGGACAGTTACCCTCCTTGAGGCAGGGCAGTGTAAACAGAATTGTCTCGTTGAGTCAACACTCCTGCAGTATAAATGGTAATAGCAGAACAATGTTTTAGAAATAGCTGAAATGTATAGACAATTTCCTAATATTTGAGACTTGTTTTATTGAGTTTTTATCTTAAATCGCAGTAACATCCTGTTACATTCAGAAATTGTCGCAGTATCTGCCGGCTGCACTGAGCCACTTAAAACTATGGAAGCTCACCCCTATACCAAAAACATGTCAAATGTAGATCATACAAATAGGATAATTATGTTTTTTTTATTTGTAGCCTGTGTTGCCAACTTTGTCGCTATATATAGCGAATTGTCAGACCCCTCCAGCGACTTCCATTGGTAGAAGATTCGAGCGACATAATTCAGCTGCTTTTCAGGCTGCCTTTGGGGAGTTTTGACACAGAGGGTTTCTATGGTTTTGATTGCATGTAGCGACTTTCCCCCACGCAATTCTGCCACATAGGAGAAGTGGGATAAACTGTCTGCAACAGAAGTCACAGCAACGGTGCACACAGAGGCAGAGAAGCACCAGGGGAGGGGGTGTGCTGCGGAGGAGGCGAAAACGTTATGTCGGGGACCGCAGCTGTGGCGCAGCAAGGCAAAATGGTGCTGTGACGTCGTCGCGGCAACAGCAAAACGTAATCTAGCGACAAATCAAGGTGCCAATAGCAGATCTCACTGAAAAATAGTTGACAACACTGTTTAACATTGTGAAGTGATTTCAGATGTGGCACCACAGGTCCCAGAGTGGTGGGGGAGAAATTGTTTTCCTGGGGCTTAGAGTTTTTCCTGCTCTGGTAGTAGGCTAACCTAAAGGGTACTACACAGAATACGCAAACGGCGCCGACGTAGCGCAGTGTCGCAACGTCGTTACAAAAGGGGCGGCTTGTTGTGCGCTCAGAAATTCGACGTGCCACATGAAAATTGTAACGTGCGGTATCATCCCTTCTGTAGCCGTGGGGGCAGTGTTGTGTAAGCAATGAAGCTTGCTTGGTTCCTTGATCTGATCTACAGTATAGGCTATAGGCTATGCATCAAAGAAGCCTATTTTGTATTGATAAGCAAATATAATCACTAGTTATTACTTCTAAACAAAATACCTTTTTGGGTGGATTCTAATAAGGCTACAATGTTGTTTGGTTTATTGTTTGAACAGTAGCTTAGAATACAGGCTATTGTGAAATGGTAGAAATGCTGTAGCCAACTGTAGTCATCTAGCTTTCTTCTCCTTGACCAAAACATGACATTCTGTGTTTTTTTTTTTACATACAAATAAAATCCCACTCCACCCACATGCACACACGTAGATCAACGGAGTGGAGCTTGTAGTAACCTTAACCAACTCCGACCCTAGTTGTAGTGTATGACATAAATCAGCTGTAAAAAACAGTTTTATATGGACGATGATGGGGCCAGATTATTATTCTAATCAGGTCATAAGGTTTAAACAAATAAATAAATAAATAAAAACTCCTGGGAAAACACCTGGGCCTAGGAAGGATGAAAACATGAAAACCCTTTACACAGAGACAACAACTGCTAATGTTTTTTTTTTTTTTTTTAGCAGGGCTGAGCTCGCTGTGTGCAGGGTTGCAAGGTATAGGCCTTTGCATCTGTAATTAGAAAGATACTCATACAGTATGTCATCACTATTGTGTTGATTGATCAATTAAAGTCAAGATTTTTGGATTAAAAAGGCCTAGCCTAGCCACCCGAAGTTTAATCACATTCACATTTTCTCAGAACACAAATAAATTGGCCTATTTTAGGCTATAAAAACATGATGTTATGTTTCCCCTGGGCCAGATGGGATCAGAGCGCATAGGCTGCTCTAGGCTACCTGGATCTGTACTTATCTATTTCATAATTATTATTATTATTATTTTTTTATCAGATATGATGCTTTTTACCACAATTTCCACAAAATGCTCATTACTGCAACTATCCAAAAGAGTAGTAAACAAATCAATTGCTAATATTTTTTGAAAATGCCTGAGTTAAAAATAACACTGAAAAATAAAAATATACAAAATTAAATTATAATAAAATTAAATCTGACTTTTTCCCAATTTGAGCTTTTTAGCCATTTGGGTAATGAGAAGGCCAAGTGGGGTAAAGGGGGTGTTGGAGAATAAGAACCTCATTCTGAGGGCATATAAGCAAAAACATTAACTTCTACTACTCCTCTAGATGATGCATCATGGGTGAATAAAACTTTATTCAAGGAGTTTTTACAGGAACTTGAAAAAGTGTTACAGTAATAAGACACATGTCCACAGACACTGTGTTTGTACGTAATAAATATTATAGTTTAATGTAAACTTCAACTAGTATACAATATTTATGATTTATGAACAAATGCATTACCATATTCTGTGTTTTATTCAAATCACAATTTTATAAAATGACCCAATAATTTAATCCGGACACATTTCGGTAATGAGAATTTTGAAAAATTTACCAAATTCAGGTGAAAATGTAAAATGTATTTAAAATAAGACACTTGGCCAAAAACTAGACATCTTAGTCCTCAGAATGATAGTTGATTTTTGCAGATGCATCATGGTTTTGTAACTCAATTTGCTACAGACATGTTTAAAACTGGTTTCATGACAATCATCCACCTGCAGCTGTGGTTGTTATCAGTAGGCTACAGTTGTTCAGATTGAAGCACAGACTAATTGTGCACGTTGACAAATCATGAGGCATTTATTTTTTATTTTTTGTTGGCAGGGATGAGCTTCCAAATAAAAATAGCTCATTGCAGTGAATTCACTTACTGTATACCCACATTTTCAGTCACAATTTGCTTTTATCACATGTAATGATGTGCATGATATAGATAAAAATGAAGCCTTTTGTATTTTTATATTTGTAATCGTTCGTTTTTGATAGGCTTACAGTACTTGATGAAGACATGCTGTTATAGCAACTCTGGGCTTTTGTCTTGAAGCTAAAATGTAATGAGTGTAGCCTACAGACGAGAAGATCAACCTTTTAATTGTCTGCACATACAGTGCATTCGGAAGGTATTCAGACCCCTTGACGTTTTCCACATTTTGTTACATTACAGCCTTATACTACAATTGAATGTGAATGGAAAAGTAGAATTCTCTTTCGCCACCCCTCTCCTCAGACGCCTTCATATCTCGTAGTGGTAATAGGGCCTTTCTCTCTGTCCTACTTCTGTGTGTGGTGCATTTCAGGCCGGAAGCTGAGGGGAGCTGGCCCGCTGAAAGGAGGAGTGGAGGGGGGAACACAAGCACCCGGCAGAGAGAGGGAAGGAGAGAGGACTGGGGGGAGAGAGTTAGCCACCATTTCCCCACAGGCTCAATGTGAGGGTACTGTATGCAATTTTTTCAAGTGAGCCCTGACAAAGAAAGCAGTTACAACTCAATTCAGAATTTACCCCAACCCTGGGGTAGAACATATTCAGTCTCAACTCATCTCGCCTTGTCTCATCTCATATCCCTTTCTGCAGGCTCTGCTGCCTCGCAGGCTCACGCTCTTGGCCCCTCCCCCAGCCTGCGCCCCTCCCTCCTCAATGTCCTGAGTTCCATCGAGCCAGGAATGGTCAACGCAGGCCATGACACCTCCCAGCCAGACTGTTTCGCCTCGCTACTGTCCAGTCTCAACGAGCTGGGAGAGAGACAACTGGTGTCTGTGGTGAACTGGGCTAAAGCCATGCCAGGTAAACCACTCTTCCTGTATCCTACTGTTATCTCACCACTACATGGTACCAACCCTCTAACTCTGTATCCTACTGTTATCTCACCACTACATGGTACCAACCCTCTAACCTACTGTTATCTAACCACTACATGGTACCAACCCTCTAACCTACTGTTATCTAACCACTACATGGTACCAACCTCTAACCTACTGTTATCTAACCACTACTGGTACCAACCCTCTAACCCTGTATCCTACTGTTATCTAACCACTACATGGTACCAACCCTCTAACCCTGTATCCTACTGTTATCTAACCACTACATGGTACCAACCCTCTAACCTACTGTTATCTAACCACTACATGGTACCAACCCTCTAACCCTGTATCCTACTGTTATCTAACCACTACATGGTACCAACCCTCTAACTCTGTATCCTACTGTTATCTAACCACTACATGGTACCAACCCTCTAACCCTGTATCCTACTGTTATCTAACCACTACATGGTACCAACCCTCTAACTCTGTATCCTACTGTTATCTAACCACTACATGGTACCAACCCTCTAACCCTGTATCCTACTGTTATCTAACCACTACATGGTACCAACCCTCTAACCCTGTATCCTACTGTTATCTAACCACTACATGGTACCAACCCTCTAACTCTGTACCCTACTGTTATCTAACCACTACATGGTACCAACCCTCTAAACCCTGTATCCTACTGTTATCTAACCACTACATGGTACCAACCCTCTAACTCTGTATCCTACTGTTATCTAACCACTACATGGTACCAACCCTCTAACCCTGTATCCTACTGTTATCTAACCACTACATGGTACCAACCCTCTAACTCTGTATCCTACTGTTATCTAACCACTACATGGTACCAACCCTCTAACCCTGTATCCTACTGTTATCTAACCACTACATGGTACCAACCCTCTAACTCTGTATCCTACTGTTATCTAACCACTACATGGTACCAACCCTCTAATCCAGGTGTGATAGAGACAGCTGGTCTGTGTATGACTGATACCAGTGCTGTAGCCTCAGTTCTACCTTTTTATTTCCTTCCCACTAGAGGGGGCTATACTCATATCTTGTTTTATTCCCCCTGTACTGTAGGATTCAGGGAGCTGCATGTAGAAGACCAGATGTCAGTGATCCAGTCTTCGTGGCTGGGGTTGATGGTGTTCGCTCTGGGCTGGAGGTCCTACACCAACTCCGATGCCAGAGAGCTCTACTTCGCTCCTGACCTCATCTTCAACGAGTGAGTACAACTATTGTCTTGCTGAATACAATATTGATGACAATCTCTCGCTCTCTCTCTTTCTCTAGACAACAAACAAAAGGGAAATAAACAATCTGAAATGAACAGTAAACATTTCACTCACAAAAGTTTTAAAAATAATATAGACATTTGAAATGTTATATTTAACCAATAAGGCCCGAGGGGGTGTGATACATGTTTACATTGGCAATGCAAATGAAATAGACAATACCAAAAAAGGAAATGAACAAGGGAAACATTTGTAAACATTACTCACTCACTCTCTCTCTCTCTCTCTCTCTCTCTCTCTCTCTCTCTCTCTCTCTCTCTCTCTCCTCTCTCTCTCTCTCTCTCTCACTCTCTCTCTCTATATATATATATATATATATATATCTATATATCTATATATCTTACTCTCACCTTCTCACCCTCTCTCTCTCTCCCTCGCTTTCTCTCCGTCTGTCTGTCTGTCTGTCTGTCTGTCTGTCTACCTCTTTACCTCTCTCTCCCCACCCCCCACCCCAGTCAGAGGATGCGTGTGTCCAGTATGTATGAACACTGTGTCCAGTTCCGTCTGCTATCCCAGAGGTTCTGTGTGCTCAGAGTCACCCAGGAAGAGTTCCTCTGTATGAAGGCTCTGCTCCTCTTCAGCATCAGTGAGTCACATCACTGACACACTGACACTAAGTGACTGTATCATTATCTGTTTCAATATTTGCTTATTTCTTTGTGTGTGTTGTCTGTTAGTCCCTGTGAAGGGTCTGAGGAATCAGAAGTGTTTTGACGAGCTGAGGTTCTCTTACATCAAGGAGCTGGATCGTCTGGCCAGCCACCATGGAGAAAAACACCACACACAACGTCTGTTCCAGCTAACACAGCTACTGGACTACCTACACCCGGTAATATACACTAACCCTGACCTCTAACCTCTAACCCCTAACCCGTACACAATGCCTGTTCCAGCTAAAACAGCTACTGGACTACCTACGTCCGGTAATATACACTAACCCTGACCTCTAACCTCTAACCCCTAACCCGTACACAATGCCTGTTCCAGCAGTAATATAATGATAATAATAGATTTAATTAGTATAGCGCTTTTCATTACAGCAAGAATCTCAAAGACGCTCTTAAAACAACAAAACAAAACATTTCAGTTAGCCTATTGAAAGTTCTAGCTGGAAGGTCTTCCACGGTCATTCACAGAGGCAGGTGCCAGTCCAACAGGTCACATCCTGTGTCCGACCCACTCTCCTTGTGCGCTTACCTCACCCGTGCCATCCACGTCTCTTCCGACCGAGGTCCAGATGAAGGGTTGAGGTCCAGATGAAGGGTTGAGGTCCAGAAGAAGGGTTGAGGTCCAGATGAAGGGTTGAGGCCCAGATGAAGGGTTGAGGCCCAGATGAAGGGTTGAGGTCCAGATGAAGGGTTGAGGTCCAGATGAAGGTTTGAGGCCCAGATGAAGGGTTGAGGCCCAGATGAAGGGTTGAGGTCCAGATGAAGGGTTGAGGCCCAGATGAAGGGTTGAGGTCCAGAAGAAGGGTTGAGGCCCAGATGAAGGGTTGAGGTCCAGAAGAAGGTTTGAGGCCCAGATGAAGGGTTGAGGTCCAGAAGAAGGGTTGAGGTCCAGATGAAGGGTTGAGGCCCAGATGAGTCCTTGCGCTAGCCTACGACTCAACGTCTTTAAGGGACGCGCTCACCGGCCAAGCACATGCACATTCAATGATGTAAGGTCCGATCACTTCTGACGCCAATGTAATGAAACAGGCAGGGAGGGCTGCTCGAACCCTCAACCTTCTGGCCCGAAGCCCAGAGTGTAAAAGCATGCTCTTGTGGATGTCGATATCCGCACTTATAAACCCAGGGTTGCTACAATATATACAATCAAAACTTACTTAGCTAACAAACTAAAAAGTTGATTAAAAAAGATTGTCAAGAACACTTAAAAATTCAAATATGTACAGTATTTACAGAGCTCTCTGCCTAGGCGACCTCACTGCGCCATGGCAACCACAGAACTGACATATCCCTGACCTCTAACCCTTAACCCGTACACAACACCTGTTCCAGTTAACCCAGCTACTGTACTACCGTCACCTGGTAATATAGACCTACAACCCAGGGCCAGCCTAGCTTTTTGGGGGCCCTAGGCGTGATTTGGTTTGGGGGCCGCCCACTTCGTGGGTAAAACATTTGAGTGGCCCCCCTCTTGAGGGTGGAGAGAAAAAGATGTATGTTTAAAAGTTAACTTCCTGCAATTCTACGTATTTTGCCAGGTGGCGTAATTTTCTGGGGGGGTTTTAAAGAACATTTTCTGCAATTCTACACATTTTGCCATGGGGTGGAGAGAAAATTGTGTAGTTTTTAAAACAAATTTCATGCAATTCTACAAATTTTGCCATTGGGCCAAGAGAAGAAATAACAGTTTTAAAGCGAATTTCCTGCAATTGGACGCATTTTGCCCTGACTTATGCCATGCACATATGATGTCTGAGTGAGAGTGACTAACAAAATAAAATGGGGCCCCCTGGAGGTCAGGACCCCTGGGCACATGCCCTGCGTGCCTGGTCAGTAGTCGGCCATGATTACTACAAGGTGTAGATAGCTGGCTAGGCTAACTTAACAATTATTTATTTTTTAGCTGACACGGGCTAATTGAGTGACTGTCAGTGACTGGCATAACAAGAGAAACTACCAAATGTTGAAATTGCATCTTGTGTATTCTACTATTCTAACACTATCCCCAACTGAGTTCCTAAAATATTTTTTGGGGTTGGGGGCCCCCGTAGTGGCCGGGGGCCCTGTTGTCCTGCTACTACCCCTAACCCCTGACCTGTTCAACCCCCCCCTGCTTTGGTGGTACTGACAGTTGACACTCTCTCTCTCTCTCTCTCAGATTGTGAGGAAGCTGCACCAGTTCACCTATGATCTGTTTATCCAGGCCCAGTCTCTGCCCACCAGAGTCAGCTATCCAGAGATGATCTCTGAGATCGTCAGCGTTCACGTGCCCAAGATGCTCACAGGCATAGTTCAGCCAATCCTCTTTCACAATACACCTTGCTAGAGGGTCATCATATCACAATGCACCTTGATAGAGGGTCATCCTATCACAATGCACCTTGCTAGAGGATCATCATATCACAATGCACCTTGCTAGAGGTTCAACCTATCACAATGCACCTTGCTAGAGGGTCATCATATCACAATGCACCTTGCTAGAGGTTCAACCTATCACAACGCACCTTGCTAGAGGGTCATCCTATCACAATGCACCTTGCTAGAGGTTCAACCTATCACAATGCACCTTGCTAGAGGATCATCATATCACAATGCACCTTGCTAGAGGTTCAACCTATCACAACGCACCTTGCTAGAGGGTCATCATATCACAATGCACCTTGCTAGAGGGTCATCCTATCACAATGCACCTTGCTAGAGGTTCAACCTATCACAATGCACCTTGCTAGAGGGTCATCATATCACAATGCACCTTGCTAGAGGTTCAACCTATCACAAAACACTATTAGAGGTTCAACCCAGGGCCGGCCCTAGGCATAAGTTATTTTATATTTGATTTTATATTTTTGGAACTCAGTCGGGGTCTCAACTTACTGTTGAGAGTTAAAATAGTAAAATACATAGGTTGAGACCTTTTTGAAAGAGCACAGTTAGAAAGATATGGCATATAGAAGCAAACCAGATGGACATCATGAAAATGATCGGAGAGGTTGAGGGTAGAGGAAGTTCAGGAGTAAAAACAAACAAAATATAATTATTGTAAAATTGACTGTGTCCATAAAATGTATATAGTATGTATAAGCTGGAAGTAGAGGCTTAAGCATTGTTGTTCACTAGTTTACTCCAATTAGGGAAGGGGTGGTGGGGTTGGAAAGTAATAAAAGGAAATATATTTTTTTAAAGGATATGTATGTGTATATGTATGTGTGTGTATATACACTGCTCAAAAAAATAAAGGGAACACTTAAACAACACAATGTAACTCCAAGTCAATCACACTTCTGTGAAATCAAACTGTCCACTTAGGAAGCAACACTGATTGACAATACATTTCACATGCTGTTTGCAAATGGAATAGACAACAGGTGGAAATTATAGGCAATTAGCAAGACACCCCCAATAAAGAAGTGGTTCTGCAGGTGGTGACCACAGACCACTTCTCAGTTCCTATGCTTCCTGGCTGATGTTTTGGTCACTTTTGAATGCTGGCGGTGCTTTCACTCTAGTGGTAGCATGAGACGGAGTCTACAACCCACACAAGTGGCTCAGGTAGTGCAGCTCATCCAGGATGGCACATCAATGCGAGCTGTGGTAAGAAGGTTTGCTGTGTCTGTCAGCGTAGTGTCCAGAGCATGGAGGCGCTACCAGGAGACAGGCCAGTATATCAGGAGACGTGGAAGAGGCCGTAGGAGGGCAACAACCCAGCAGCAGGACTGCTACCTCCGCCTTTGTGCAAGGAGGAGCAGGAGGAGCACTGCCAGAGCCCTGCAAAATGACCTCCAGCAGGCCACAAATGTGCATGTGTCTGCTCAAACGGTCAGAAACAGACTCCATGAGGGTGGTATGAGGGCCCGACGTCCACAGGTGGGGGTTGTGCTTACAGCCCAACACTGTGCAGGACGTTTGGCATTTGCCAGAGAACACCAAGATTGGCAAATTCGCCACTGGCGCCCTGTGCTCTTCACAGATGAAAGCAGGTTCACACTGAGCACATGTGACAGACGTGACAGTCTGGAGACGCCGTGGAGAACGTTCTGCTGCCTGCAACATCCTCCAGCATGACCGGTTTGGCGGTGGGTCAGTCATGGTGTGGGGTGGCATTTCTTAGGGGGGCCGCACAGCCCTCCATGTGCTCGCCAGAGGTAGCCTGACTGCCATTAGATACCGAGATGAGATCCTCAGACCCCTTGGGAGACCATATGCTGGTGCGGTTGGCCCTTGGTTCCTCCTAATGCAAGACAAAGCTAGACCTCATGTGGCTGGAGTGTGTCAGCAGTTCCTGCAAGAGGAAGGCATTGATGCTATGGACTGGCCCGCCCGTTCCCCAGACCTGAATCCAATTGAGCACATCTGGGACATCATGTCTCGCTCCATCCACCAACGGCACGTTGCACCACAGACTGTCCAGGAGTTGGCGGATGCTTTAGTCCAGGTCTGGGAGGAGATCCCTCAGGAGACCATCCACCACCTCATCAGGAACATGCCCAGGCGTTGTAGGGAGGTCATACAGGCACGTGGAGGCCACACACACTACTGAGCCTAATTTTGACTTGTTTTAAGGACATTACATCAAAGTTGGATCAGCCTGTAGTGTGGTTTTCCACTTTAATTTTGAGGGTGACTCCAAATCCAGACCTCCATGGGTTGATACATTTGATTTCCATTGATCATTTTTGTGTGATTTTGTTGTCAGCACATTCAACTATGTAAAGAAAAAAGTATTTAATAAGATTATTTCATTCATTCAGATCTAGGATGTGTTGTTTAAGTGTTCCCTTTATTTTTTTGAGCAGACTATGTGGTCAACTATGACAGACAAATTGAGAGAAAAAAACCCCAGAAAATCACATTGTAGGATTTTTAATGCATTTATTTGCAAATTATGGTGGAAAATAAGTATTTGGTCACCTACAAACAAGCAAGATTTCTGGCTCTCACAGACCTGTAACTTCTTCTTTAAGAGGCTCCTCTGTCCTCCACTCGTTACCTGTATTAATGGCACCTGTTTGAACTTGTTATCAGTATAAAAGACACCTGTCCACAACCTCAAACAGTCACACTCCAAACTCCACTATGGCCAAGACCAAAGAGCTGTCAAAGGACACCAGAAACAAAATTGTAGACCTGCACCAGGCTGGGAAGACTGAATCTGCAATAGGTAAGCAGCTTGGTTTGAAGAAATCAATTGTGGGAGCAATTATTAGGAAATGGAAGACATACAAGACCACTGATAATCTCCCTCGATCTGGGGCTCCACGCAAGATCTCACCCCGTGGGGTCAAAATGATCACAAGAACGGTGAGCAAAAATCCCAGAACCACACGGGGGGACCTAGTGAATGACCTGCAGAGAGCTGGGACCAAAGTAACAAAGCCTACCATCAGTAACACACTACGCCGCCAGGGACTCAAATCCTGCAGTGCCAGACGTGTCCCCCTGCTTAAGCCAGTACATGTCCAGGCCCGTCTGAAGTTTGCTAGAGTGCATTTGGATGATCCAGAAGAGGATTGGGAGAATGTCATATGGTCAGATGAAACCAAAATATTACTTTTTGGTAAAAACTCAACTCGTCGTGTTTGGAGGACAAAGAATGCTGAGTTGCATCCAAAGAACACCATACCTACTGTGAAGCATGGGGGTGGAAACATCATGCTTTGGGGCTGTTTTTTCTGCAAAGGGACCAGGACGACTGATCCGTGTAAAGGAAAGAATGAATTGGGCCATGTATCGTGAGATTTTTAGTGAAAACCTCCTTCCATCAGCAAGGGCATTGAAGATGAAACGTGGCTGGGTCTTTCAGCATGACAATGATCCCAAACACACCGCCCGGGCAACGAAGGAGTGGCTTCGTAAGAAGCATTTCAAGGTCCTGGAGTGGCCTAGCCAGTCTCCAGATCTCAACCCCATAGAAAATCTTTGGAGGGAGTTGAAAGTCCGTGTTGCCCAGCGACAGCCCCAAAACATCACTGCTCTAGAGGAGATCTGCATGGAGGAATGGGCCAAAATACCAGCAACAGTGTGTGAAAACCTTGTGAAGACTTACAGAAAACGTTTGACCTGTGTCATTGCCAACAAAGGGTATATAACAAAGTATTGAGAAACTTTTGTTATTGACCAAATACTTATTTTCCACCATAATTTGCAAATAAATTCATTAAAAATCCTACAAAGTGATTTTCTGGATTTTTTTTTCTCATTTTGTCTGTCATAGTTGACGTGTACCTATGATGAAAATTACAGGCCTCTCTCATTTTTTTAAGTGTGAGAACTTGCACAATTGGTGGCTGACTAAATACTTTTTACCCCCACAGTGGGGAGAACAAGTATTTGATACACTGCCGATTTTGCAGGTTTTCCTACTTACAAAGCATGTAGAGGTCTGTAATTTTTTTTATCATAGGTACACTTCAACTGTGAGAGACGGAATCTAAAACAAAAATCCAGAAAATCACATTGTATGATTTTTAAGTAATTCATTTGCATTTTATTGCATGACATACGTATTTGATACATCAGAAAAGCAGAACTTAATATTTGGTACAGGAACCTTTTTTTGCAATTACAGAGATCATACGTTTCCGGTAGGTCTTGACCAGGTTTGCACACACTGCAGCAGGGATTTTGGCCCACTCCTCCATACAGACCTACTCCAGATCCTTCAGGTTTCGGGGCTGTCGCTGGGCAATACGGACTTTCAGCTCCCTCCAAAGATTTTCTATTGGGTTCAGGTCTGGAGACTGGCTAGGCCACTCCAGGACCTTAAGATGCTTCTTACGGAGCCACTCCTTAGTTGCCCTGGCTGTGTGTTTTGGGTCGTTGTCATGCTGGAAGACCCAGCCACGACCCATCTTCAATGCTCTTACTGAGGGAAGGAGGTTGTTGGCCAAGATCTCACGATACATGGCCCCATCCATCCTCCCCTCAATACGGTGCAGTCGTCCTGTCCCCTTTGCAGAAAAGCATCCCCAAAGAATGATGTTTCCACCTCCATGCTTCACGGTTGGGATGGTGTTCTTGGGGTTGTACTCATCCTTCTTCTTCCTCCAAACACGGCGAGTGGAGTTTAGACCAAAAAGCTCTATTTTTGTCTCATCAGACCACATGACCTTCTCCCATTCCTCCTCTGGATCATCCAGATGGTCATTGGCAAACTTCAGACGGGCCTGGACATGCGCTGGCTTGAGCAGGGGGACCTTGCGTGCGCTGCGTAGTGTGTTACTAATGGTTTTCTTTGAGACTGTGGTCCCAGCTCTCTTCAGGTCATTGACCAGGTCCTGCCGTGTAGTTCTGGGCTGATCCCTCACCTTCCTCATGATCATTGATGCCCCACGAGGTGAGATCTTGCATGGAGCCCCAGACCGAGGTTGATTGACCGTCA